ATCTGAAACTAACACTTTTGGAACGACCATCTTGTCGCCATGCATTCAACCCAAATCCGATGCAAGCAAGCCGAAACTTTCATGCACGTTTGGGTGGTGGTCTAGTGGTTAAGGTGTCGCTTGTTACGATTAATGATCCGGGTTCGATTCTCCTTCACATCGATAGACTGTGTCAAGCATGTTCTCTGTGGTCCCCACTGTGTAAATTGAAGATTGCGTTGAGCGTAATGTCTCACATATATTAAGGTCCGCCCATTTAATACTAAAACAACCCAGCTTCCACTATGTCCAGTGAACGTTTTATTTTATTGTGTAAACATGAGCACAAATTATTTTTTCGTTTCATTATCGAGAATCAAAAGATTACCAGGAACCCAATTAGTCGTCAGTGCTATAACATTGGCAGATAGGTGAGGTGAGGTGAGGTGAGGTGAGGTGAGGTGAGGTGAGGTGAGGTGAGGTGAGCGTGTGTCTGCTTGTACTAGTCCGGACTAATGCTGGTTTTATAGTCGTCAGTGGTATAACATTGGCAGATAGGTGAGGTGAGGTAGGGTGAGGTGAGGTGAGGTGAGCGTGTGTCTGCTTGTACTAGTCCGGACTAATGCTGGTTTTATAGTCGTCAGTGGTATAACATTGGCAGATAGGTGAGGTGAGGTAGGGTGAGGTGAGGTGAGGTGAGCGTGTGTCTGCTTGTACTAGTCCGGACTAATCCTGGTTTTATAGTGCTAGTCCACTGAGATACCATGCCGCAGTTTTACATGGATACCACTCTCAGACATATTATCCTGAGCCGACCAGTCCTTGTTTTATCCCCTTAAAGCCGAGCGCCAGACAGGGTAGCAACAAGCAACATCTTTTAACGTCTTTTGGTACGACGCTGTCAGGGATAAAACCCCGACCTTCCACCCTCCGGGCAGACAGTCTATCCACAAGATTAGACCTGAAATAAACCATTAACTAATATGGCATATTTTCGATTTTCTGATATTTCATAGTTATTATATTTCAGCAATCCATGCTTGTCGTAAGAGGCGACTTACCCTAACTTGGGTGATGCACGTCATCCTATCCCAATTGCATATATCAGTGCTCATGATGTCAATCACTGATTGTCTGGTCCATCCTCGATTGGTTACAGACGCAATCGTATAACTGGAATAGTTCTTAGTGCAGCGACCGCCTCCGTGGTCTAGTGGTAGAGCGTACGCCCGGAGAGCGGAAGGTCCGGGGTTCGATCCCCGACCGCGTCATACCATACCAGAAGACGTTAAAAGATGGTACTTGTTGTTACCCTGTCTGGCGCTCGGCATTAAGGGGCTTAAACAAGGACTGGTCGGCTCGGAGTCAGTATACTGTGTCTGAGTGGGGTATTCATGTTAAACTGCGGCATGGTATCTCAGTGAGCTAGCACTATAAATCGGCATCAGTCCGGACTAGTACAAGCAGCCACACAAACACACACACGTACATGCACGTCGCTATATAAGTGCAATAATCTTGGACGCGACGTTAAACCCCATTTCACCTCACCTCACCTCTAAGTGCAGCGTTAAACAACAACCAAAACCACATGTTATATATGCGTAATGAGTGAGAATTCAGGTCCCACCACAATTGGGATCGAGTGATCAGACAGTGTCTTGGATTTGGCTTTCAGTGTGTTATTGTTGACGGCGTGAGACGTTCATCATGCTATCAACCATCGGTTTGCCTCGACCATACTCGATTATTGACAGGTGTTCGTGATATAGTTTGAATGTTGCTTATCACGGCCTCAAACAACACACACTCACTCATGCTAAATGTATAACATACAAAGCCGGCATTTATCAGTACAGTTATTTAAGGTCGTTTTGCGTAGCTTTTGGCAGGCTCACGGGACCCGTGAAGATCCGGCGTAAAATAGGTCTTCAGCAACCCATGCGTGGCCTAAAAAGACGACTAGGCTTGTCGTAAGAGGCGACTAACGGGATCGGATGGTCAGGCTCGCTAACTTGGTTGATGCATGTCATGGTATCCCAATTGCGTGGATCGATGCTTATAACGTCAATCACTGGATTGTCTGGTCCAGATTCGATTATTTACAGACCGCCGTCATATAGCTGGAATATTGCTGAATGCGGCGTTAAACAATAAACAAACCAAACATGGCAACATCACGGTCTGACACAAAAGTCTGCTTCACACAATGTACCAATGTATTGAATCGAACCCGTTTCATAGGCGTGGCGAGCGAACACTTTCACCATTGGACCACCCCACTGTCCTTCGTCCAAGGTGATGTCAGTTTATGTTTCCGTTGGACACCAGTAATGAACTTCACGAACTATAGCGCGTGATCATAGAGATGCAACCAGATGTCCGCTGTAACAATGCCAATGTTACATTCATCAGCAGGTTATATTGAACAATTGACTTGCCTTTGCATGTGTTTGTGACGGGTGCCCCGGCGGGGCAGGATACGCTCACCTTTTCGGGAACACCTGGTATCGCCACTATTTCATAGTGATTCATAAAGATATGCTCGTGATACAATCGGAAGCGTACAATGGACTTTTCTTTAAGTATAGATTTCTCATGATTATGGAAAGATTTTTGTCGCTGTTATTAGCAATTTTATTATTCAACCATGAGCCCTCATAGGTAGACCAACGCGTGAACTCTTTGCTTTTGTCGATCACATCATTTCAACAAAAATAACATTGTTAAAGTGTTAATCACAATTAGCTTAACCGAGAAATCTTAAAACCCCCGAAATGTAACATGAATTTTCGATGAAGAAAACAGATTGAGGTTAAATCTAAAATTAATATTCTTTCATCGACATGTTTTAAATAAACAAGCATGTAAGCTGTAACTTAACTGTATTTTTCAATTCTATTTTTCGACTTAATATCTTTATAATGTTGATATTTTACATCTGATATAACTTCACATAACGATTGGCAGTCACAAGCTCATGACATTTGCTGCCATGGTATATGGCCTCCGTTATTACTCAATAAACGGCATGGCCCTAGACTGTTGCTCCGCTACGACCACGGCAGCATAACCCCCAATTAATATCACATATATACTGATATGATGCAGTAATAATTCCAGATGATTATATCAAGATGATATTTATTACATGATGTTCGCAGGCATATAGCGATCTCCCCGAGCCTTTAGATTTATTAGACCAAGTTAACAAGCCCATGCAGTAATGTCGACGCTGGCCTCTCTATTATTTGTCAGGTAAATACCGATAAAATAGTATCAATAGCTGCAAGATAATTCTTTTATGAAACGACATATCGACTATGATTGTGCGGTAATGACTAGAGACACGGTATAATTAACCCAGAACCTGTGCATGAAACACGAAACTTTTCTTGCCATACCTGTCCGATAGCGGAAATATCATGCCGAGATGGTCGGTGTGGTACAATGGAATTGTGAGAGATTATTATTGCTATTAACGGCCCTTCTACCTTTTCAGGATGTCAGGGCTTTTAGCGCTGTTTAGCTTCCCTTGCTCGACAGGTTAGCCGTAATGTAGACGCCAATATATCGATATGTTATGACAGACGCGTGTTTTTCCTCCCTTCCCCCTCTCGACCCACCTCTCCCCGACCCGACCCCCGGGTCGAGCTCTGGCAGATCGCACGTGCCACGTCCCGATTTCCTGTCGGTCTTTGACGCTGACGCACAAGCCTCCCGTTAATCGAGGCCCTATGTCATAAAATGAAGGGAATTCGGCCATAAATCATTGTACATGAGAGTCTAAAAAGGTTTTCAATATGAATGCATTATTGTGGAGTGATGAATTTTAGTTTATCATGCAAAAAGTCGCGTTAATCCTGTGTCCAGTGCCAGCGCAAGCATTAAGATGATAGAGCGGGCTCCGGCCGCCCATGGGCCTCGTATATACAGTACAGCCCGCGGCTTGCGGTGCTAATAAATGGTACCTAGCATGCGCATTACCATTCAACTTCGATGAAAAGGATTTTTCTTTACTAATTCTTTTTGCCATGGAATTTTGAAATAAAATTGTGATTACATGTATGGCAACGGACCACGAGAGGCCCGGACGAGCCCTGCTTATATAAGCATTAGAACTTGCCGTCATTTTTAATTGATAAGCCTCGCGTTGGTTTACAGATGGAGCTCAAAATTATAGCGAATTATCGTCTCTAATCACGCGAAGAAATTTGAGTGCTCGGGTGCTAAATTGGTTGGAAGTCGAAGAACATTTTAACTGGTCCCCTATGATCCGAGTCATCGAAAAAGCTGTTCGTGGGTTGTTCTCTGTTGAGTGGAATTACCATTTACGGTATTGGTACCGGGGAGATATAGGTGGCTGGGTATACTGACGAATTACCCTGCTCGAACATTTCGCGAAATTTGGTAACATTCAGCGGACTGATTAAAATTGAAATGGTTAATTTGTCGAGACTGGGACTGGGGACACGGAGGGAGGGGTGGTGGTGGTGGTTTGTGTGTGTGTGTGTGTGTGTGTGTGTGTGTGTGTGTGTGTGTGTGTGTGTGTGTGTGTTTTGTTTGGAGAAGGGTTAAATAAAAAATGGGATTGGGGTAACGTTGGGTGAAGTTGAGGTAACAATGGATTAGAGCTTTCATCGGATGAAGAACAGGTAACATTGGGTGGAGTATGGTGGTAGCATTGGATGGTGTAGAGGTAACATTGGATAGTGTAGAGGTAACACTTGATGGTGTAGAGGTAACATTGGATGGTGTAGAGGTAACACTGGATGGTGTAGGGGTAACACTGGATGGTGTAGAGGTCACACTGGATGGTGTAGAGGTAACATTGGATGGTGTAGAGGTAACACTGGGTGGTGTAGAGGTAACAATGGATGGTGTAGAGGTAACACTGGATGGTGTAGAGGTAACAATGGATGGTTTAGAGGTAACACTGGATGGTGTAGAGGTAACATTGGGTGGTGTAGAAGTAACACTGGATGGTGTAGAAGTAACACTAGATGGTTTAGAGTTAACACTGAATGGTTTAGAGGTAACATTGGATGGTGTAGAGGTAACACTGGATGGTGTAGAGGTAACACTGGATGGTGTAGAGGTAACATTGGGTGGTGTAGAAGTAACACTGGATGATGAAGAGGTAACATTGGATGGTGTAGAGGTAACATTGGATGGTGTAGAGGTAACACTGGATGGTGTAGAGGTAACACTGGATGGTGTAGAGGTAACATTGGATGGTGTAGAGGTAACATTGGGTGGTGTAGAGGTAACACTGGATAGTGCAGAGGTAACACTGGATGATGAAGAGGTAACATTGGATGGTGTAGAGGTAACATTGGATGGTGTAGAGGTAACATTGGGTGGTGTAGAGGTAACACTGGATGGTGTAGAGGTAACACTGGATTGTGTAGAGGTCACACTGGATGGTTTAGAGGTAACACTTGATGGTGTAGAGGTAACATTGGATGGTGTAGAGGTAACACTGGATGGTGTAGAGGTAACACTAGATGGTGTAGAGGTAATATTGGATGGTGTAGAGGTAACACTGGATAGTGTAGAGGTAACACTGGATGGTATAGAGGTAACACTGGATGGTGTAGAGGTAACACTAGATGGTGTAGAGGTAACACTAGATGGTGTAGAGGTAACATTGGATGGTGTAGAGGTAACACTGGATGGTGTAGAGGTAACACTGGATGGTGTAGAGGTAACACTAGATGGTGTAGAGGTAATATTGGATGGTGTAGAGGTAACACTGGATAGTGTAGAGGTAACACTGGATGGTGTAGAGGTAACACTGGATTGTGTAGAGGTCACACTGGATGGTTTAGAGGTAACACTTGATGGTGTAGAGGTAACACTGAATGGTTTAGAGGTAACACTGGATGGTGTAGAGGTAACACTGGATGGTGTAGAAGTAACACTAGATGGTGTAGAGGTAACATTGGAAGGTGTAGAGGTAACACTGGATGGTGTAGAGGTAACACTGGATGGTGTAGAGGTAACACTGGATGGTGTAGAGGTAACATTGGATGGTGTAGAGGTAACATTGGATGGGGAAGAGGTAACACTGGGTGGTGTAGAGGTAACACTGGGTGGTGTAGAGATAACACTGGATGGTGTAGAGGTAACATTGGATGGTGAAGAGGTAACACTGGATAGTGTTACCTCTACATTAGATGGTGTAGAGGTAAGACTGGATGGTGTAGAGGTAACACTGGGTGGTGTAGAGGTAACAATGGATGGTGTAGAGGTAACAATGGATGGTGTAGAGGTAACAATGGATGGTGTAGAGGTAAGATTGGGTGGTGTAGAGGTAACACTGGATGGTTTAGAGGCAACACTGGATGGTGTAGAGGTAACATTGGATGGTGAAGAGGTAACACTGGGTGGTGTAGAGATAACACTGAATGGTTTAGAGGTAACATTGGATGGTGTAGAAGTAACACTAGATGGTGTAGAGGTAACATTGGATGGTGTAGAGGTAACACTGGATAGTGTAGAGGTAACATTGGATGGTGTAGAGGTAACACTGGATGGTGTAGAGGTAAGACTGGATGGTTTAGAGGTAACACTGGATGGTGTAGAAGTAACACTAGATGGTGTAGAGGTAACATTGGATGGTGTAGAGGTAACACTGGATAGTGTAGAGGTAACATTGGATGGTGTAGAGGTAACACTGGATGGTTTAGAGGTAAGACTGGATGGTGTAGAGGTAAGATTGGGTGGCGAAGAGGTAACACTGGATGGTGTAGAGGTAACACTAGATGGTGTAGAGGTAACATTGGATGGTGCAGAGGTAACACTGGATAGTGTAGAGGTAACATTGGGTGGTGTAGAAGTAACACTGGATGGTGTAGAGGTAACATTGGATGGTGTAGAGGTAACATTGGGTGGTGTAGAAGTAACACTGGATGGTGTAGAAGTAACACTGGATGGTGTAGAGGTAACACTGGATGGTGTATAGGTAACACTGGATAGTGTAGAGGTAACATTGGGTGGTGTAGAAGTAACACTGGATGGTGTAGAGGTAACATTGGGTGGTGTAGAAGTAACACTGGATGGTGTAGAAGTAACACTAGATGGTGTAGAGGTAACATTGGATGGTGTAGAGGTAACACTGGATAGTGCAGAGGTAACATTGGGTGGTGTAGAAGTAACACTGGATGGTGTAGAGGTAACATTGGATGGTGTAGAGGTAACATTGGGTGGTGTAGAGGTAACACTGGATGGTGTAGAGGTAACACTGGATGGTGTATAGGTAACACTAGATGGTGTAGAGGTAACACTGGATGGTGTAGAAGTAACACTGGATGGTGTAGAGGTAACATTGGATGGTGTAGAGGTAACATTGGGTGGTGTAGAGGTAACACTGGATGGTGTAGAGGTAACATTGGATGGTGTAGAGGTAACACTGGATGGTGTAGAGGTAACATTGGGTGGTGTAGAAGTAACACTGGATGGTGTAGAGGTAACATTGGATGGTGTAGAGGTAACATTGGATGGTGTAGAGGTAACACTGGATGGTGTAGAGGTAACATTGGATGGTGTAGAGGTAACACTGGGTGGTGTAGAGGTAACAATGGATGGTGTAGAGGTAACACTGGATTGTGTAGAGGTAACACTGGATGGTGTAGAGGTAACATTGGATTGTGTAGAGGTAACATTGGATGGTGTAGAAGTAACATTGGATGGAGTAGAGGTAACACTGGGTGGTGTAGAGAAAACACTGGATGGTGTAGGTGATCCTGGATGGACTACGGTAAGATGGGTTTCGGGAAGAATAACATTAGTTGGAGTAGGGTGCACGTACCTTCTCCACCTCAATGAACTCTAAGAGTCGGGGCAAGGCATACCTGTGATTGAAGGCCATCAAGGATTCACCCCCAAAACCAATCCTAGTCGGTAAAAACAAACATTGGATGCAGTAGCGTGATATTTACAGAGTTTAGTATACAAACAGATTTGGTAGCTGATAACAAATAAATACATAATTTCAAAACAAAACTTAAAATAGTCGTTAGAACATGTCTAAATATCAAGAAACTAAATAAAGCGACAAAACCCTTTCCATATCCAAGAGAAATCTCTGCATAAGTCTGGGATAAAACAGCCATTGAATCATTAACGAAGTATGATATCCCTCTGTGTTAAAATGATGATGATGATGATGATGATGATGATGATGATGATAGAAACCACGGTTCATCATAATTAAACTCTCACGAATTATTGCGTCTTGGTCTCTCCATATCCGCGGATCACGAACATCTTTTGAAGAAAAAATACCATAATATTGATCCTATGAACAATGGTGATAAAATATTAATTTGACGTAAAAACGGATGACGTTGTATAATATTATCCGACGCTACAATAATATCACCGTCTGACCATGTGTGGATCGGTTTGTAATTTTAGATTATTTCCTCAGTTTCACTCATTTGGTCATAAGATTACTTATGCATGAATCATTTTAAAAAATTGAAATAAATTTTAAACCCTATACATTCAGGTCGTACAAAGTTAAATCATAGTCCAGGGAGGATTTAAAAAGAGATTCGTATTGCAGTAGGAGCTGTTTCAAAAGGTGACCGTTGAATGACGATCACGTTTACTCGTAGTTGTTAATTGTCGTTAAGGCGAGTTATTCTAATAGATTCAGAGCCATTCTTTAGCCCTGCGTGTTAAAGGCCGGAGTGCAAACTGAAAAAAAACCCATGGGTTTCTAATTAGTCTCCCATTGGCTACTCCTGAGCAGTGTAGATTTTATCTGCCCATGAGTGACAGAACTCTAACGGATTTGCTGCTTGGTGAGAGCCTGGCGAGGTCAAAGGTTAAGCATGGAATTTACTACAAAAGTAAACACAAGTGGTTCATAGTAAATTTTTAAATGTGAACTTGAGACTAAAATCCCATTTAAAGCATACAGCATTAAGGTTTTCAGTAAAAATGATAAGGCTTACACAAATCTCTGCAACATATCATCTTTTATATATTTAATACAACACATTAGAGACTATATAAACTTATTACATGAAATACCACATGTGAAATACCTCAGACCTTATAATACATAAAACACTAACAAATGGATGTGTGGATATAGTATACGACCATACAAAGAAACATTTAAATATTTAATATTTATTAATTTAACTGTAACTCTCTCTGTAAAGGGGTTACCATCAATGTCAGGGACTGGTGTTCCGATGCTTCTCCCATCGTCAATAGTTGTAGAACTATGAATGCATTTTAAAACAATTCTCCACAGAGTACAACTGACAATAAATTACAATAGACAGCTGCCATAAGGATGGCAATAATTAAAAGTCTGACAATTAGAACAAATTTCCCACATAACGGCTCCAAATACTTCCTCGGTAGTGATAGGTGACAGATTTATAATTCTTCTTCTGCCTGGTTCGAGATCTTGGTGCCCCAGAGTTACTGGCATGCCATTGTGAGGTAAAGTCCCGGTCAACATTCTCATTCCAATGACACACGGCTAACTGAGAACGCATATTATAGATAGTGTCAGAAAATGATAATCTTTTGTCTTGGAAGACATTCATCACATTATTAAAACTTTCAACATAAAAGGTATCTTTTGCCAAATTGAAATCATTCGGATATTTGTAGACAACCGAATTTTCAATAACTCTCGTCAATAAAGCCACAGCTTTTTGACTGGTCAAGACAATCCGTGATGGTTCATAATTTTGATCCAATTTACATCTGGAAGATGCATCACAATCGGAATGATTGTTCTTGTAATGTTCCACAATATTTGATAGTGAAGACCTCAGTTTGGCACTGTCACCATTACAATTCCGCATTGCAAAATGAAAATGAGTGGTAATTGGTTTGACTTTGTCTGACAGCTGCTCATGCCAGGTGCTCCCATGTTTGTAGCGAGGCCCAGTGGATACAGCAGTCAACAATTTGGTAACAGATTTCACACCATGCCATAAGTCATTCTGGTTTGTCGTTGATCCAGTGTCTCGAACAAATTTATTAATTGACAAGTTCCGGTCATGGGTGTGCACATTTATTTGGACATCCTTTTCTTTCAAAAAGTTGTAAATTCTTTCAGTCCCAATGCGTTCATGTCTTTGAGATACTGGATCATGTTGTTTGGTGACATGCTCACACACTAATACTTTGTGACTAGCATCTCCAATAGCAACAACGCTGCTGTCCTTGGCATTCTTCCGCCAACCATGTCGGGCATCGGACATAATGTTAATACCATCTAAATGTTCATATCCAGCTACTTCTTCCAATAAGGCTGTGTCACAGGAATCTTCAAACTCAGATTGAACAATGTTCTTGTAAGAATTCAGTTGATCCTTCCTATATCTTTGTGAGAGACTTCCAATACCGGCAGCTGAACAAAATCTTTTATACTGGACAGGTATGAGACCACTGCTGTAAAATGCATGTCCAAGCTTCTCATTAACCAGGAATTTGTTGTTGGGAAGATAAGGTGACGATGCTAAACGGTACTGGTGTGACCTAGAACACTGCACTTTCATCGTTACAGCATGTCCTTTGTAGTTGGTCTGCTTCAGAGACAGTTTACTTGAACATTTACGCCCATGCTGCTCTGCTACATCTAGGCACATTTTCATGGATGACTCGGATATGATGAAAAACCTGTCATCAGTGTCCCCAGCTCCTGCTCTGAGGTGTGTCACGGGTGGATCTTCTGGGACAGTCAGGCAATGGTTTTGGAGGTAGTACGTCAAGACACGATCGAGGACGGCAGCATTATTGGCAGGCATATTAGTTTCTGCCCGCATATGTATCTTCACCTGTTTAATCTTTTGAAGAATGCCTCTCTTCACATCATCATTACCAGGTACTTCAATAGTAAAGCGCGCTGATCGCCCACTTGGATCCGCCATAGTAGATCACTTTTATCAGTCAGATAATTCAGAAACAAGAGATTTGCTGTCGAAGGTCAGTAGTCAATTGAAAACAAAATGATAATGAAGTCAGTGACTAAGACAAGGCCTGGCCAGAGTCCACTTTTTAGAGGAAGGGGAGGAGATACATGGCAAAGCAACCATGGTACAGAAAATGGTAATTAGAGTGTTGTCTAGAATCATCAGGGGTTGAACGTGGGGGTTAAAGGAAATATTGACATTAAATTTACTGAAAGATGACCCAATACCAATAACAAATATTCTTGCACAACTGTCTCCACCCCCACTGATATAGAATGAAGGGTCCCCCAAAGTGTGCCATGCTATCATCACAGAGCGGGAGGTCAGTGCATGGGGGGTCAGTTTCACTCCCAGCTGATGGGAGAATGTAATGTGAAACCATGAATGAGATTCTCCCTTCCATCCAGGGAAGTTGCTATGGATACTCACCGCCCTCTGGCTGTCTGACTGACAGGAGGGAAATTCAAATTTGAATCACAAAGTTTATATTTTTTTTCTAAATGCAGACTTATTTGACTATCTGTACTGATGTTTTTCACAGTATGTATTCCTATCACCCTTGTGCATGGTCCTAACAATTATCATCTTGAAATATTAGATAGTATTTGAAATATTTCATAAAATGTATTTGAATGTTGCTCTGCTCTTAGCATTAAGACAGTTGGTGCCATACTGGGAGGACACACCCCCTGCCTCTTTTATACCCGCATGCCGGCCTTTAAGTTCAAGGAACCGGCAACACAGCGAGGAGTATTAATGTGTAGTTTACCCAGCGAAAGAGATTTCCGACGGCCATCTTGTACTAGAATTACTAAACCATGGGCGGGTAGTGTCATTTCAGAAAAAAAGCAATAGCACATTTAATGTCAACGGGGTCGCGGGTATTATTAATTTTGATCTTAAAGGATAAAATATTAATATGGAGTAATATGGATTTCAGAGAGAGTCGTTTCCTTTCTGACTTTAGACAAAACGTGGGTGGACTAATTACAATGTATCTGCTGTCTGATAGGATGTCCTAGGCACTACACGTGCTGGGAGTATTTAGCTTCTAGCTCATAATTTCTGTCTCAAGATTGAATTTCTACATCAAATAATTTGTTCTGGAACTGGAATGAGGTATTTAAGTACTATGACTTCATTTTTCGAAGTCATTTGCCCGCGTTGCCGCAACAGAAAGAAAAAAACCAACCCACTAACGTGATTAGTAGAAGAAGAGTAATCAACCTACAATGCAGCTGAATTTCAGTCAAGTGGTCGCCCTCTCATTTTATTGCTGATGGGTGGAGCAAGCATTACTTCTTGAGGCGAAGAAAAGAAAAAGGAGGAGAGAAGAAGGAGAAGAAAACGAGGATGAGAAAAAGATAAGAAAATGATAAGAGAGAGGAGAAGTAGAGAAGAAGAAGAAAAAGAGAAGAAGAAGAAGAGAACGAAAAAGAGGAGGGAAGAAAATATTTTTTTTACGTGTCATATATTGCACTACAGATATTAAAAAAACAAACAAGCTAATAAGTGACAAACGTACAATGTCCTGCTTGATGGTTCATGAGACCAGAAGAGAGAGAGAGAGAGAGAGAGAGAGAGAGAGAGAGAGAGAGAGAGAGAGAGAGAGAGAGAGAGAGAGAGAATGAATTAATCAAACACTACCTTGTCCTTGTCCTGCATGATGGTTCATGAGACTAGAAGAGAGAGAGAGAGAGAGAGAGAGAGAGAGAGAGAGAGAATTAATCAAACACTACCTTTATTGCCTATGTTTTTGGTTAATACATAAATACGACACATTCAGGACGAATGACGAATTGTATATACAACCGACAAACAGAAGCGAGACTACTTGTGTCAGTACATCAACTTATACGTATAACCTTCACGCGCTAAGCCGTACTGTACGGAAGAGCTAAACGCTTCGTTAAAAAGATGAATTGAAAAAATAAACAAACAATACTGAAGTGTCTTTTAAATGTAATTAAACTTTTTAGATTGTAATGAATAAGACCTCAAATTGTCGTGTTTACAAAGTATGGGTGGTCGGCAACGATATCATGTGAACTAGCGCGGCAGCGGACAGTCCCGCTCTCGGCACGAAGTGTACCTTTCCACGCAGTCGATAATTTGGCCATTTAGAAATCATTTAACAAAATAAACAGAGAGGAAATGAGGAATATTTCCTATTTCTCCCCAGGTGCGCCGTAGATGACCAGCCAATGTGTGTTTAAGGACGAGAAACACCCTTCCCGGATTAGTGCGTAAAATAACGGGAGAATAACAAGTTTATAACCACAAACACAATCTTCCCTCGTTCTGGTGGTGATACATCTGCGATGTAAACCCCTTGTCTGCCATTCACAAACTAGCACCTTGCCATGTGCGCGCGCAGGTCGGTCGTGCCCTCTCTTAATGCATTTGTTCTAGCAGCACGTGCAGCGAATGCCTACAAAGCTTTGATAGTGCAGGTGTTGTTACCTTAAGATTACTCCGTCACCTTTCGATGGAACGGAAAATATATTTAGGGACACTGGACTATCGGGGCATATGTGATGGGCGGAGGCAGGTTTCAAGAGTTAGAGATTATTTTTGGACATTCGGCAAACTTCGGCATTTTCCGTGGTGTTCCTGCTCCTAATGTCTTTCATCATTTCTTTGATGTTGCTATTTGAACTAAAGAAACAGACACGTAATGGTTGCTGTGAGACTGATATAATGATAATAATCATAATCATAATAATAACCAAGTTGTCCGACTCCCATTATTCCAGGTGCCTTAGGTTTGGTACTTCCACATCTGTTGACTGACATTGGGAGAGTACCCAGGTTTACTGAGAGGAATACAGCCCTTCTGATAATCTGGGTAATGCAGAAAGCTGCAGTGTTGGGGAGTCTCCGAATTTAAGCTCCTCTATATATCCGTTTCTTCAAAATCAGGGCGATAAGTGTCAAAATATATTCATGAACGTACCTTTACGTTAAAAGTTGACCTTCAGCAATATACAAATACTTATAAAAGATATTTCAACACAACTGAAAATCAATCCTACTGTTTCATTTTACCCAAACTTTCAGCCCATATTCAAAAGAGTGAGTGAGTGAATATTGCTTATTGTCGCATCATTAATATATCAGCTATTCGCGGCTTGATTTCCAGCGAAACATGAAAAGTGTGAACCTCTCACTGAAAAAATCTCAAAATATTCAGAGGCTGTTTTTACTTTGTATCATAACGATTAATATCACTGAAGAATTGAAAGGGCAAACTAGCGCAATATGTAAGCCAACGCCGGTATAGCGACAATGCAACGGAGGAAACTATAGAGAATTAACGAGCCTCCTTTTAATTTCTTTAATAATGTGGATTAATTCCTGTTTGTGGCTCAATTTACATCATATTTTATTTCTCTTGTTAATTTCATATTGTACGAGAATTAAGAGAAAGCTGAGCTCCAAAGTTGCTATCAGTTGAACGCGATTATCTAAGTGTCGAATTCGGCGTTAAGTGAACGCCATATCAGCAAACGTTACACTGTTAATAAACATGCTAATGCGAAACCTAATATTACCAGTTACTATAACATTGTCAGTGTAATATGTAGATTAATGCAACCTATGGCAGCTGAGACCGGTCACGTGTAGACATACACCTTATTAAATTGATTAACTTGATTTTTTTTATCTGAGATTTCTAATAGGCGTGTTGACTACACTTGTGTAGTCACATGTTTGAAATTAAAATGCCTTGTATTACGCTATTTGAGACTTATAACCAGATTTAGTTCATGCACTTGGAGTATGTTAGAGTGGTGTTCAAATTGGCGAGTTAGAAGCGTTTTAGGTCGTTTTTAGACTAACATCTAGTCTCTGAAATGAACATATCGTACAGAAAAAAACAGTTGTTCAGTTATCTTAATAAAAATATAATAAAAGGGAGCCCAGTGACACTCTTCATTTTCAGATACTGCAGTAATCTAGACTTGCCAAACATTATAGACTTGCATGGGCTGTATTTGATATATATTTGTATCAGGGTCTGTAAGACAGACTAGGTCGCTTTAAACAATATTCTAGTCTTGACAACACGGGACACGAAACACGGCCTTCCCGTATTGTAACTATGTTGGAATCAAAATGGTACTTGGTGTAACGAGCGAACGCTTTAACCATTAGGCTATCAATTCTAGCCCGGTCATATAACGACACTGAAAATGGGAATCAATTAAACAAATATTTTCTTCTAATTCATAAGGTTTCGATGAGATCGATAGCAAATTTTTTTTTTCCATTTTGTATTGGTAAACTTGTCTTGGTACCTTAGCCTCGTCTGGATTCCGGAGAAGAATAGGCCCTAGTCTCCCTTGTTTGTCCGACGAGCAAGCTAAAGGGAATCGGATAGCCAGGCTCGTTGACTGAGTTGCTTACGTGTCATCGAGCCCTGCTATGACGTGGGCTGTTGCTCATTCTTTCAATCACTGGTTTGTCGGGTCCAGACTCGACGTGGGCTGTTGCTCATTCTTTCAATCACTGGTTTGTCGGGTCCAGACTCGACGTGGGCTGTTGCTCATTCTTTCAATCACTGGTTTGTCGAGTCCAGACTCGATTCTTACATGCCGGGGTGATATAGCTTGAATATTGCTGACGGCGGCGATAAACAACACATACTAACCGACTCTGCTTCATTTATACACCTGTTTTGTATCTTTATGCTTCAATTCGTTCGGTTTTGAAATTAACGAAAATGTATTTTCTTAAAATTATCACCTTGCTGTGGTTCGTAAACTTTCCCACGCTTGGTTGTAGTATTTTATAAATGACGTCACAATCGGAAGTGACGTAACTGCTGGTATGGATCTTCTGTGCAATCATTTGGTATATAAGTTCCAGGGTTTGTTTGTTTGTCGACATTGATGGGTTTTATTTTTGTTGACTTTTTCCATGCAAGAGCGCCACCTTTAGGGCGAAAGTCCAAC